ATTTTTATAATTAGCTTTAGGCAAGTTTAAAAAATTTTGTTTTTTTTTCTTGTTTTGAATTTTGAAATTAGTCCACTCGGTTACATCTTTTATAAAAGTCAGCTCAGCATGAGCCAATAGTACTCAAATGATGCTGATGGGTTGAACAATAACATCGAATCCTTTTCTGTTCGGTTAAAGTTTTTGTAAAAGCCGCTTCGACACGTACCAACTGTACATACTCAAAAGATGCCGATACGTTAAGGGGATTCAGTAGTACACGTGCATAGAGTAAAAACATGCTTATGGGTTCTAGATATCATGAGTTTAATATTTGGAATAGAAGTTTGAAATTTTGTAGTAAGATAGATAAAGCTTCGTTCTAAAGCTTGTCGAAGGCCACTTTTTAATTTCTATTGAAAATACGTGTCCTACAAGAAGCATCAACTTTAAGTACTTGTAAAAGCTTTTAATGACCACATTACTGAAAAACAGAAACGTACCGAGTTAGTGTGAACCTTTGTCTGTTACCATACAACAAATTAGATATTTATCACGCAGGATTAAATCACAATGTTTAAAATAGAAATCCAAGTTTTCGGAAAAATTCACACTAGGCACGAGCGGTCTATTGCGGTCAATCCCCTTAATATCCCCTTAATAAATGACACCGAATCCTTTTCTGTTTACCGATTGCAACCGTGAATAATGAAATTTTTAATCACGAATACAGGAACTGGGTTGTAATTTTTTCACCCGCGAGTAAGGAACTTTTACTGTACTTATGCGCTGCATTCATTAGGGAACAGTTTAATAATAAATTGACATTAATAATATAATAAAACAAAATTCAGCAGAAAAATTTGGTGTTTATACGTGAGCTAGTTTATAATTAGTGTGATTCATACGTAGGCCATACAAGAAAACCCATCAAAACCAGTCATAAATAACATCTGTACGCAAGTAACAGAAGAATATAAAAAGTCTACAACTATCTCTGATCATTGCTTAACTTTGAAATTTAATTAAATGACTATACAAAAATCTAAAAAGTAAACTGATTAAGAAAGAAATTAAAAAATGCCAAAAGAATAATCTTAACTTAGTAACAAAAATAATCTGTTAATCTTATCTCAACGATAAAATAAATATTAAAATTTGTTAAAATGGTCCGACTTAATTTTTTTGCAAAACTTCTTATTCTTCACTTATTTTTTTGCAGTCAAGAACGTGATTTCTATCTTTGACGACTCTTAGTTGAAAACTGACCGGAAGTTCAGTAGTGTTAAACTTGTTAAAAGTTCAGTGGGCAACTTCAACTGTCAATTAATTTGAAATTTAAATTGGTGGGTAAATTCTCGGCACCTTCTTACTTTTTCAAGACGGAAAGAACATCTGAGCACGAACCGGAAACTTGGGCAAACTTGTCTGAAGCTATCGCCAACTTTTCTAGAAATTCTTCTTCGGATAAGCTAATTGGCCGGAAAATCGTTGTATGTAAATCCGATAATGAAGTTGTTCCGTACACACCGACTTTCAAATTAGAAGTCGCTAACGTCAGTTATTATATAAGACTTCCGGTTGTGTGACTCGTGATTTTGATAAGGACCAACTTTTCAAAACTTTAAGTTGCTTTAGATGACTTTTAGTAACTCACACCCTAAACTTTCTGCAATGTTTTACGTCTCATTATTATAGTATCAATTGTAAAAAGTCGGACAAGCGACCGACCTATGACCATATTTAGTATATTGTAACTAGCTCTAGCGTGTTTGTGTGCGATCGGGCGCACGTGTGCTTGGACGGCTTATCGATTCGCCGACTACCTGCGTTCTGGGAAAGCAGTTAAACAGTTCAAAGAAAAAAGAAACTATTCGGATGTTTCGAGAAGGCTCCCGAAAGTAAACAAAAAAATATTTAAAGGAAGAGACGATCGCCGAGGAGAAGTAGAAATAAATTGACCGTTGCAGAAGTGAATCGGGAAATAAATTGACAGTGATAACAGTGAAATAAATAGCGCAGTGAATAGTGATATATAATCATATATCCTTAGTTTAATAATAATTAATTAGTGTTTTTAAGTTTTTCAATAATTAGTGTAAATAAATAGTTTTTATCGGTATTAGAAGTTAATTTTGTTAAACCCACGAACATTACAATATTATTGACATTTTTGGGTATATACCAGAGCCGGGCAAACTCGGCTCTTTTGACTCCCGAGTGCTCTTCAGGTATAGCCAAGGAGCTTCTTATTGCTCCTGCGAGTGCGAGTGAGATGATTCTTTCCTTTTCTTATCCCTTCCATTTCGTAGGTAAGTCCCCTCTTCCATAGCCGAACCCAATAGTATTGCGAACGTAGTCCGGCATGCTACCCCTGAGCTACCCTACCCTTAAAAAATTTTCTTAGGTATTATTTAAGTTGCGAGAGAGACTTCGCTCGTGTACGGAATGAAGGGGCTTGATATGGGAGTGGAAGGGAGAAAAAAAAGAGAAAGCAATATGGGTCATTACTGCTTACTCTCTCCTACTCATTGAAGGGTATGGAGTGACCCAAGCTAACCTCAGGTAGCGGCTCCTACGAAGTTAAAGTTTGCCCGACTTTGGTATATATACCTACTATTATAACGGATTTTCTTAAAGGATTCGGATGGGAATACGAACATTTGTGAGATTAAGCTTGCAGATGCGATTGCGGATGCGGAGTTTAAACAATTTAATTTTGCGAATGCGAATGAAGATACAGATATCAAAATTCCTGCAGATTATCCGGATGTGAATGATGATATCTAATATAAGCGTACTTATGTGCTAGCTTAAAAAGAAAAACATTCTTAAAGACTTAGACGCTAGTTCCGTGGTTTATCCTCTTCCTTTCTCTCTCGTTCTCACTTATTGATAGCTAACGTGAGAAAGAAAAACGAAGAAACATTACTCTTGGCGGCAGAACAGAAGTGAAACAATTACTTGAGTTGGCCGAGAGAGAAGCCACTTAAATTGCCACTCTCTAGCTTCCTTGCAACCCTTCTTATTTACGGATGCCTTGAAACGAACATTGAGAATCGAAATTGACGACTTTCTAAATTCAATTCCAGCACAACAGTACCTAATGGAACACAGAGACAAAATAAAGTGTGGCCGTAATGAACGACAAATTGCTCTTACATAAATCTGTACGTCTGTAAGTGTAAGCTGTGTTTAATAAATTCAGAATTAATTGAATCATTATTATGGAGCGGACGTCGTACGTACATACAGGGTGATCCACCTAAGGCGGTTTCGTCCGTAACTCTGTTATTATACTTAAAAAAAATGTTTTTATAAAATGGTCTGGAATTATATGGTGTATATGTTAACGGAAATGTATGTAATCCGTCATTGTTTACTATTCCTAGGAAATGTATATAATTTCTAAAATCGCCTGAAAATGTGTGAAATAAATTATATTAGACACATTTCCTAGGAAATTTATAGATTTCCTAAATAGCAATCGGAAATGTATTACATTCAAGGTATCAATGGGTACGCGGGGGATAGCGAGGGTAGGGTATTCATTTTATTCACAGAAAGTATTAGTTTTATACATTTCCTAGTACAATAACGGAATTTCATACAATGCCTAGGAAATGTGTAGATTTCCCAGGATATGTATGTATTAAAAAATCTTTGAAACAATATTTTATACAATAAAATAATTCGAAGTGGTCTGTATTCTGTCGAAACTGCCAGACGCGGATCGCGATTTCGATTTTTTTGGATCTCATCAGCGCGTCGCAGGCAGCTCCGACAGAACACGGACCAACTTTTACCTGCTGTCTTAACAGTGCGTTAGAAAATACTACAAATGGCGCAGTAAACGCCATCTGTATCCGGATGCTACATTTTAGGATTACGTATTCTCCAACAAGGCCCACTTGTGTGGATATCTACTTGCTGAAAACGAATCCCGGCGTAGCCAACCTCAACGTGATACGCACGTTAGCTTAATCGAATAAAATAATATTTTATACATTTCCTAAATAGCCTCGGAATTGTATACATTTCCTAAGAAATTGTATTCAATTCCTGGATTTCATACATCCCTGGTAACACAAACAGAAAAAATTATACACCCTGTATATTTATACATTTTTGGTTTCTTTGTTTAATTTTACGTCGACTTTCCCTATACGTGCCTAATTAAATTATTCAAATTAAACAATGTGTTAACAGAACTTTATTTTGTACACAGCTTTTATTATAATTAATGTATTACTTATTTTATATACATCAGTGTGTACCCAAATAATGTATTGTAATATGCATGAATTATTGAGTTTGATCCTTTATGGTATTGTGTATCTACTACCTATATACAGGGAATTTATAAACACGAAAATAGGCTTCCATGTCAAAACATGCCCTGTGGTTTGTTTTCGAATCCAAAATTAACTGGCTGCATTAACATTTTGCACCACGTCCCGTCCAGCGCCTCCCCTTTGAATTACTGCACTTTATTGGAGCGAATGACATTATACATACATAAACCTACTAGTAGAACAAAAGCTATAGAATTTTCAGTAAGTTCGTGCACAAAGGTGAATTCATACTACACCAGACTTTATCTTTATGCTTTACCACAAAATGAATAAAATATTTAGTTATATAGCATTTACCAACCACTCGTTCCAGTGATTCCTAAAATGAAACTGAAAAGCCCTTCCGCTCTATTCTCCTGTTTACACTATATTGTAGGTCGGAGGGACTGCTCATCCAGTAGCATTAGAAGTTGGTAGGGATAAAACGCACAAAACTTTTTTGGTAAACTATTTCGAGAAAGAAAAAGGAATTCCCCAAATCCCAATTAGTATTTTATATTTAACACAACAATTTTGTTATTTCTGTATTTTCTGATTTGAATCATATAGTTATTGATTAGTAATCGACCTTTGAACCTTCAGAGCAGGACCGGATTTGACTATAATTTCCAATTTTGATACAGCTTAAAATAATTCATTGTAAAAATAAGGTTTCTGTTGTTGCAGATTAAGACAAGAGATAAACGGAGGTGCTTGGTGTCCAAAAGCTCAGATAAGTAGCGAAGTAAAGGAATACTTAGAAGTTGATCTGCAAAAGAATCATTTGATTACCTGGACAGAAACGCAAGGTCGATTTGGTAACGGTCAAGGTCAAGAGTACGCCGAAGCGTTTCTCGTGGAATACTGGAGACCGTCACTAAGTCGATGGGTGATGTATAAGGACTCGAGAGGACAAAAGGTAAGATATATAAAGAAAACGATTCCCGCATCACAAACTTATTCTATGCTAATATGCATCTAGCCTACGTTTCTCGGTTATTTCCAAATTTGTTTGGTAAATCCCCCCTTCTTATTCACAAGACCAAAACTGACTTTATACCAGCAGGACAATGACCAAGATCTAACAAACAAAACCAAGACCGAACGAACAAGTCCAAACCTAAATACGCAGAACTAAACGAAAAATTATTACTTTCAGTGTATCTACGAGTTAAACTATTTGAAGCAATATTAATTTATTCTTTTCTTAGAACAAAAACATTTCTAGTAGGTATTTGAAATTTTCAGTTTGCTTTACCAGATTTTAACACTAAGTATAAAAAAGAATGCTTTTGACAATGTTAAGTTGGACAAGATGTCAAATTACATAAAAATGTAGGGTTGAGTTACAGAGATATAAGGATAATACTTATAGTTTGTATAAAGAGCAACAGACAGTTATAGAGCTGGAGCTGCAATGTAGAGAAACAAATATTAGGAAAGGAGTCAGACAGGGATGCACACTGTCACCCCTACTTTTTTTATAATATAGCAGTATTAGCATCTAGCAGGGAGATGTTACAGATTAGCCTTAAATAACATAAAATCGGTATTGACAAAATAAATAAAAGAAAAACAAAACTACTGGTATTTAAGGGAAGAAAAAGTAGCGAAAGAGCGAATATAAAGATAGGAGACGAAAAATTAGAACAAGTGGCCGATTTTAGGGATATAGCAAGTCAGATAAGTCAAGACGGAAGGAGTAGTAGGGATGAAAAGCAGAGGATAGAGCAGAGTCGGGTTGCCTTCAATAGAAAGAAGTCAGTTGTATGCTCGCGAACGGTTAATTAAGAAATTCGAAAACGATTGTTAAAGGTGTATATTTGCAGCGGGGCACTGTACTGGTGCGAAACATGGACAGTGGGCGCTGTGGAAAAATAAGGATACCGTGGATAGAGAAGGTTAGAAATGAAAGGGTATCAGAAAGAATAGAACAGAGGTCTCTATTTAAATCAATAAAAAATAGGCGAAATAGGTTAGTAAGACAGCTTCTCAAGCATGAAGGTCTAATGAGAGACATAATTATGGATTATAAGCCTATTGAATTCTTCGATTTTTAGTTATTTTTAGAAATTTTATAAATATCCTTAAGGTTAAAATGACAGAATGTGCTGGAAAAAGTCCCCATCCCCTTAACTAAAATATGTGGGGCAAATGGCATTTCATATATCCACTTTATTCCATCAGTAATCATCAGAATCATGTCAACATTTGTTCAATACCTATGTAGAAACATGAGGAATTATTTTTTTTAATAATATTAATACTGATAGATTTTATTTTAACGTTTTCACAAGCTATTTTCTGTCACTTGGTAGCACAGTAGTACATAAATTTCTCGAAAGTACTTTTACCGTAAAAAGGGACATTGGGTTTGCACCGTTCGTTTTTTGCACAACTCTAACAAAACGTAATATTTCTCAACTGGTGTAATGGCCAGCAGGCGGCTGTGAAACGGGTTCGCTGAAGCAATTGTTCGGGCTTTACCAAGTAATTTAACAACGAAAGAGACAAATAACGCATTCCATTTTTATGATCGTCTCTCCAGTGTCGCCAATTTCTTCGTTGTTGAACGGACATGGATCAAACTCGACACTTTAAACGAAACGCTACTAAGAATGAGAACTCTACGTTTAAGGGAAATGTACAGAATCGCGCATATGTCAGCCAAAGTGCTTATATTGATTTAGGGAGCAAACACCTTCGTACTCGAAATAATAAATTGGTAGATAGACAAACTTTGTAAAAATTTTGTTGTTATTACATAAGGATAGGCGAAAAGAAATTGATTTTTATTTTTAATATTGAAACAAAATCTTGCATATAGTTGAAGAAATCAAAGACCAAAGTCAAAAAAGATTTGACCAAGAACAAGATTTAATGGTTTAGACGCAAGCTGAAATAGACTTATCTTTTTAATACTATAATATTTATTAACGTGTAAATAAAGAAAAAAACGAGGATGACAGTCAAAAAAATGTTTGTTCATTAATAGTCTATTTCCTCTACTTAACCAGCTTATCGTGGAAAAAAATTGTGGAATTCACAGGGTGACGTCATGCGCAGACGTGAACGAATTTTGAACTTATACGTAGGTATTATATCTTCGTTGATATTATTTGCGTCATGGTTGCAGTATAATACAAATGGATGAACGGTAACAAACAAAACTGTTTTTTAAATTTATTTTTCGTCTTTTAAGTGTCTAATATCCATTTGTATATTATAATCATAATTAGTAGGAAAAGGCGGATAGAAATTGATTTCGATTTTTAATATTGAAACAAAATCTTGCATATGGTTGAAGAAATCAAAGACCAAAGTCAAAAAAGATTTGACCAAGAACAAGATTTAATGGTTTAGACGCAAGCTGAAATAGACTTATTTTTTTTAATACTATAATATGTATTAACGTGTAAATAAAGAAAAAAACGAGGATTACAGTCAAAAAAATGTTTGTTCATTAATAGTCTATTTCCTCTACTTAACCAGCTTATCGTGGAAGAGAATTTTGGAATCCACAAGGTGACGTCATGCGCAGTAGTGAACGAATTTTGAACTTCTACGTAGGTATTATATCTTCGTGGATATTATTTGCGTCATGGTTGCATGGTAACAAACAAAACTCTTTTTTAACTTTATTTTTCGTCATTCAAGTGTCTAATATCCATTTGTATATTATAATCATAATTAGTAGAAGGATATGCAGTGGACCCTAAAAGAGGAAGTTTAGTCGTAAAGACTCTGCAACTATAATATATCCATGCACGTCGTCAGATCTGGAACAAATGAGTCTTGGTTGGCAGTGTCTAAAACATATTGTTTAATCCCGTGAAGACGATGATTTATCTGTGGAGACATCCATTTGGCTTGATGCGAACAAATGACATCTGCCAGAACGAAAGAGAATGAGAGAGATAGAGTGAGAGAGTGAGGAAGCGGGTCGGTACCGGTGTCTTTCAAGGGTTACGACATATTTGGATGATAAGACTGACAAATGGAACTCAATGATAAATGGCTAAGTGCATACTGATGTTAAGACAAAACTTCAACTTCTGGAATGGAAGATGTGCGCGAAGGTGGATGGACAGATGCGAAATGAAACGGATAGATACCTCGTGTTTAGAAGTTCATAACACTGGCGGATCTGGGGAAAGGGGTGCTATGTATTAGGATGTCGCTTTCGTTAATATGTAGGGTCTATATGTAATTGTTGCGACAATGAAAAGAAACGTTTTACATTTAACCTTAATGAAAGTAAGTAGTAGGTATCATAGTAAAAGTTAAAGGTCGAGCCCTAATGGATGGTTCATTATGTGGTTGCAAAAGGACGATTGATTGGGCATTGAATTTTAAGTTCAAATATAAAAAAATTTAGATTTAATATGAAATATTACACTGAATTTTTTACCCACTACACGCTACCTCAAATTAATGAGGCAAAAATTGTTGCTGTTGTCACACCCCCGCCGGGAATCGAACCCGGGACCTTTGGCTTTACGCACCAATGTTCTGACCACTAAACTACGAGAGGTGACAACAGCAACCACGACCAACCGACCTATAAGGTTAACGATCCGTCGAACTAATGTAACTATATATACTGAATATACTATGATTAAACATACATACAATTTAGACATCTTTTAGAAGAGAGTTAGTTTAATATGAAATATTATACTGAAAATTCAATTTCTAATTTTATATTCCATTACACGCTACCTCAAATTAATTCAGAATAATATTTCATATTAAACTAACTCAGTTCTAAAGATGTCTAAATTGTATGTATCTTGAATATAGATTTACTACTAAATTTGAAGAAAAGAAACTTTACCACTGGTTGAAAAGAGGGATTTACAAGAATGTCCTTGGAGTAAGTCTTTTTTGTTTGGAGGAACGATAACTTCTCCAATTTTCAAAAAAAAAAAGGATAATTTGTGCTTAAAACAATTATTAAAAAAAAAACCTTAAGTACAAAGGCTTTCACGGCCGGAATCCATAGTAGACTGAAGATTCGGGGTGTAGGACCGTGGTCTAAGTGAACTATTCTATTCAGACGTTTCGTCAGCTACTGCGGCTGACATCCTCTGTCGCTGTCGAGACTTCGAGATATAATCTACGTTCACGTTGTCAACGCAGCACTGCCAGTAAGGATGTTAGCCGCAGTAGCTGACGAAACGTCCGGACAGAAACCTTAAGTGTCAGATTAAATGAGCAAGACCAAAACCAAGACTTAGACTATATCAACAAAAGCCAAGCCAATACTAGAAATATTTGAGAATGACCAAGACCAAGACCGAGTAAGCAAAATCAAGATATATACCAATACTCGGACAGTCTTGGTCTTGATATTGGTCTTGGTCAAACTTTTTTTCTGCGGCCCTACTGCAATTCTAAATTCTAGACCAGCCACTGATTCACAACAGAAGTAATTAAAATTTTTGCGAATAAGACTACGCTGCGCTGCCAAAAATTTTCAAACGAACTGTGTCAACTCGTTCTTCATCTCGATTCGTTCGCAATAGACAACAGAACTAACGCCGATTAAAGAGAACCAATATGCACCCATTCGTTTCGTTTAAATCCCGTAATTATCCTGACGTTGAAGTAATTACAATTCAAATGCCTGTGACTATTCTTGAATCTGTGCTAAAATGCAATTCAACAAATCCATTGCAGTATGAATCTCTTGAAAGCTTTTTATTGGTACATAGATTCGTCCTTAATACATCGTAATCTACTTAATCGTATTTTGTTTAGAAATTAAAATTCATTAAAGATGCATTAACTTAATACTTTTTCTTTACATTCCATTAAAATTTTTTAAATAGTCGTATTGGGATATCCTCCATGGACTACTCTATCTGGCGGCGCAACTTACAACTATGACGTGGTAAAAACGTCTGTAAATCGTAC